CTCTCGACATCCACAAAAAACAAAAATCATGACCGTGTATCTGTCCGTATTTCAAGAGTAGTGCAGCGAGGCCCAAAGCATAAAAGAGAACGCAAGAACGAAACGAGACCGGACTTGCCCGAGAAAAAAAAACAAACGCCAGACGCATCAGACATGTCAGACGCGCCGCATCAGACGCGTCAGAATTTTACATCGGACGTCTCACGCATCGTGATGCAAACGATCGCACGTCAGAATTTTACATCGGACGTCTCACGCATCGTGATGCAAACGATCGCGCGTCAGAATTTTACATCGGACGATTCGCGATGCAGAAACAATAACGTGGACCATTGCAGATGCGAGACTCGGTGCCGCAGCCGATAAGCTTTAGTAGGGTTGTTTGAAGCACAGGCGGTTGACAGGGACCCCCACTTTTCAGCCCTGGTTAACCCCTCCAGCACTGAAAAGTGCATTTGAGGACAATTTATTTCATCCCTTTCTGTTTTTTTTTTTGCCCTGTTTATTTTCGGTGCCGAGTTTGGTGTTTGTTAGAGTCTAGGAGACGACTGTTTTGGCCAGCCCTGAAAATACTGAAAATCCTGAAAACTGAAAAGAGTGAATTTTTAGATGAAAACACATTTCTGCCTTGGGGTTTAAGGCCCCTTTGATCCATTTTTTAACTTTTTTTTTTTTTGCTGTTGGTTTATTTGGTGTCCACTCTATGGACTGGTGACAAGTGGGACGTTTGTTATAATGACCCTGAGAAAACCCTCAAAATTTAGGGCTCTGTTAACCTCACACCCAGGTTTTTTACTCCAGCACTGCATGTTGTCACATTTGGAATCCTGCGCCTTTGGTTTATGCCTTTGACAACTCTGCACAGACATCTAGTTTTTTAACTTACGGACGGAAAAAGGACCTCCTCTACTTTCCATCTTTCTGCCCTTCATCCAGTCCTTAGTCCAGTGCCGATGCTTCTGGATTTCCCCGTTGGTGCTTCAGAAACCAGACCACCTCTACTCTTCCCACCCCTGTTGAGCAAACATACACTAGCCTGCTCGAGCCTGCTGCCGCTCAGTATACATACACTAGCAGCACTCTGTGTATCTCTACATAGCACGGACTCTACCTTCAACTGGGGGGTTGAGCAATTCCGAAAGATGCTTTGATGAAAAGTAAATTGCCTGCCTTCCAAGCAGAGGTTATGGGTTCGATTCCCCTTATCCGCAATTGACATCTTGCTACAATGGCAAGGTACATAGCTGACAGGCTCTTGGCAGTGTTGGCACCTTTCATCAGAGTCAGAGGGGACCATCGCCCAGCAAGAACTGACCGTCAAAAAACGGACCTCATCATAGCACCAGGATGAAGCAAAGTATGCAGAGCCAAACTGCTGAGACCTAAACATTTCCGCCACTAGAGCATAAACGCTACTCACCGATCTCTGGTGCTCTGTAAAACCGCGATACCAGGTACGGCGTTATCTCATTGTCACCCGAAAACATGGCGGATCCAAAATCGCAGAGCTTGAGAGTGCTCTTCGACTCATTAACCTGTTACCAAATCACCACAAATAACAATCAGATTCCATACATAACTCATCCGTCAAGCAGAGTTGAGCAATGTGAACATGTGCGAGACTAACGGGCAAAAACGTATAGGGAACAAATAACATTGACAGATACTCTTTTCAGAGAACGCAGGACTTGATATCCATGATGTCACCATCCAAATCATCTACACAGAAGTTACAACCCCCATCTTCATCTTACGACCATATCCAGACAAGGGTACCTGTTGCGGCTTCGCTAGCAAAAAAACTGGGAGGGCAAAAGGCAAAAACATGAAAGGGGGAATTTGTTTTTTTTTTGGGGGGCGGGGAACGGGATGGAGGGGACTTGGCTCACCTGTGTACTACTGTTGACTCAGTCGATGCATTGCTGCTGGAGATCACAAAGCCTTGGAAACTGTTTTCTGTTTTTTTTCCCTTTCTACATTTGCACGGAAGTAACCTCCAAGAGACCTGTTGAGGCCGCAGGGTTTGGTGGGTTTGTGGGGGGGGGGGAACAGATACTATACTTTCCTGTGGAGTGGGTAGGGAGGGGCGTAGTTAGTTAGATTGGGGTGTCTCTCTTTCTATCTATCTATCTCCCTCCCATGCACGCGCTCGCATGCGGTTTTTCCTTTTCTTTTTTTCTTAAGAAAGGGGTCCCGATGGACCACGGATCAGATATGAAACCAATCGGAACAGATACTACAGTTGATCGTGTTCGGCAGGGAGGGGGGTGTAGTTAGTTGGATTGGTCCCTCTCTCTCTCTCTCTCTCTCTCTCTCTCTCTCTCTCTCTCTCTCTCTCTCTCTCTCTCTCTCTCTCTCTCTCTCTCTCTCTCTCTCTTGC